TTATGAACTGATGAGATAACTATATGTTTGAGGGACCAAAAAATTAGTAGTTACTGTTTGTATAATAGATAGATTACGCTAGTAAGATTTGTTGTAATTGCAACTGGGACCAAAACATTACAAAAACATAGAAAATAGGGTTACATGTTCTTTTTTGTTGTAAAATCAAACATAAATGTCAAATACACGAAAATTATAAGATAAAACTTTTTCGGACTGTTTTGTAATTTACTCTTACATATATTTCAAATTTTATGTCGTGTAATTGCTTTCATTTGAAGATATAAGAACTAAAAAATTATGTTATGTATCAACGGATCTCACATATAGTCACTTGAACATATGCCTTTAACTTTATTTGAAAAATCTATTCATTTATAATAATGTAAATAGTTATTGAAAGATGCTTTGTCCTTCACACTCTACATATGCGTACTCATAATGCTGAATTGTGAAAATTGTGTAATGCACTTATATTGGATACTCATAATGTTGAATTGTGAAAATTGTGTAATGCACTTATATTGGATTATATATTTAGAAGCTGTTTGGTTTTTCTGATAACCAAAACATAAACGTAGAAGCATAAACATTAGATCTTTATCTTAAATTTGGTTAAAAGAAAATATAAACAAAAAGAACGATTACATACCTTGTTCTATTGAGATTTTTGGATCTGAAGACTAAGGTTCGTTTTTCCCGTTAATCTCAAGAACTCTCTAAATCCCACAATAAAGCATAAAATGAAGGAAAATCTCCAGAAAAGTCCTAAAATTTTAGTCAAATTTATGAAAAAGTCCCAAACTAAATTTTGTTTACAGAAAAGCACAGAATACCGGTTAAAACTTCGAAAAAACCCTTTTCGACCGGTTTCGCAGATTTTTTCGTTAGTTTGTTCAAAATTTTGGGATTTTTCCAAAAATTACCTGATAACCAAAATATTGAGATTTTTTTTTAAAATTGTGATGAAATTAATGGATATTTTTATTAACAAATCATTTATAAACATAAAAAATATTTTACTTATAAAAAAAGGAAATACATTTGTTTTTAATTTCTAGGAATAAATTGGTGGTCTAAGTACTCATCTATTGCTTCCTGACCATTCAAACTCTTTACGTTCTTCCTATGCATTGTTGTGGGTATGATGGTGAAATGTACTTAGTTAGCATTCGTCTAATGTTGGTGTTCCTCACATGTTAACAACCATCGGTTAACACATATCTATAAAATGTGAAAAGTTAACCGTGAATGATAATTTATATGGAAACAAGTGAATGATGATTATCTATTTAAATTGTCATTCAAAGTTTACTTTTCACTCTCGATAGATGTGTGTAATTTTATGGTTGTTATCGGGTAATGTTTTGAGGTTAGGTGGTAGTTAGGTTAAAGAACATGATGAAAGATCTATATGTTCGTGTAATGATATTTTCTAATAACATGTGATAATATAGTATCATGCCTAATAGCAACTAGACACTTATTAATTGTGTATTAATAAATATGATCAACTTTTGTATTGGTCACACCTAAGAGAGTACTTCTCACTATGACACCCACACCGATACATAGGAAGAATATAGAGACTTTGAAGTGGTCAACAAATAATAGAGAAGTACATAATCGACCATTGTATTCCTAGAAATTAGCAACAAATGTATTTTCTTTGTATATAATAATAAATAAAAAAATTATGTTGATAAATGATTTGTTAATAATAATATCCATTAATTCCATAGTAATTTTCAAAAAAGTCCCAATATTTTGGTTATCGTGTAAATTTCAGAAAAGTCATAATATTTTGAGCAAAGTAACGAAAAAGGACAGAATACCGGCTAAATCTATAAAACTGGCCAAAAAGGGTTTTTTTCGAAGTTTTAGCCAGTATTCTATGCTTTTCTGTAAACAAAAATTAGTTCGGAACTTTTTCATACATTAGACTAAAGTTTTAGTACTTTTCTGGAGATTTCCCTAAAATGAAATTTTTGTATGTATTTTCGTATATTGTAAATTTGTTTATCATCACGAATTTCTATAGATGGAGATATAACTAAATGTGAGAGATATTAGGGATTTAGGAGATCTTTAGTCAAACTGAAAACTCAACCCACAAGATAAACGTAGTAAGTGTATATTTTTTATTTATTAATAAAATTGGTCCATCAAAAATTTTATATAATTTACATAATGATATAAAATTAATGAAACCATTAATTATATACATTTATTAGTGGTCCCAAAATATCTAAAAATCTCCTACCAGACCATGAATATACATATGTATATATAACTGTATAAACGCTTTAACGAATGTTATCATATTATTGGTACCCTTAAACAATCTCGTCCACTAATCATACAAGTTTAGGATCAAAGTGGTCTTCACTATAATTTACATAATTAAACCCATCAAATGGTCACATATACATATATATATATATATATATATATATATATATATATATATATATATATATATATATATATATATTACTAACGAAATAGATTAAACATGTTGTGTGGTTATAAAATCAAATTAGATCTTGCAACAGTTCCTCTTTAACATGATATTAGATCAAACTTCAAACACGTGCAACTAATAATGGAATTAACCCAATTCTTAATTATGTACATAAAAACGTAGTCGGATACTTCATGTCAACATGATTTGACTTGGGAGGTAGTACCTTCATGAGCGAATCCGCTATCATGGATTTTTTTCTTGATGTTATATAGATATATCTCCATTTTCACTTTTTCTATGATAGTCGGATACTTCATGTCAACATGATTTGACTTAGTAGAACTTCTGGTGTTACTGGAATATAATATTGCTAACTTATTATCACAACTTTAGTGGTCTTTCAATACCAACAATATGTTGCCTTGTAACAAATTTCTGCATCCATATTCCATGATTTGATGATTTATAACATGATACACTTTATGCTACCATTACGGAAGAAGCTACCGAAGTCTATTCCATTAAATGGCTCATTATGCTAACATACAAAAGTGTCCCGATATGGATACGTATCAATTTTGGCATCTAATAAAATTAGATGCTTTCCAATTATCCAGATTTGGGTTGCTTACATATTTGTCCAACATCCCTATAATATAGGGACATATACATACTAGAGCATATATTAGATTCCCAACAAAGAAAATTAAAAAAAAATCTTCTATATCTCCTTAACTTTAAGGTCTAATTTAGGCTACTAATTGAGATTAAATCTATCTCTTTTAGAAACAAGGGTGTCACCTGGCTTGTAGTTTTCATGCAAAACTTTTCAAGGGTCTTATCAATATAGCTCTTATGTAATAATCCTAGAACTTTGTGAGATTTGTCACGTTAAATCTGGTGCAAATACAAAAAGGCTTCGCCAAGATCTTTCAACTCAAAATTTTTTGAAAGAAATATATCATCAACATATAAAACCAGGGATATATATTACTCCCATTAAATTTAGGATACATATAATCATCTACTGTATCTACCTCAAATACTAAATGAGATAATGAATTGATCAAACTTGTGATACCACATATGGGGTATCCTAATATGAGGTTATTGAGTTTGTTCATTATTAATAGGAGATTGAATAACATTGTCGGTCCCTGATTCATAATCTGCATACTATCAAAAGTAATAATAGGAATCAAGATTGATTCCTCCTTAAGGATAATGTTTTCAACCTTGCTACTCCCCCACAGTCAACATCCTCAAAAAAATTCCCCTATCCAAAATGCAAATTCAATATCCAGGAAACTGAGAACTAACATAATTCTCTCATTCCATTCCTTAAAGTTAGTCACATTAATCACATGAATTTGATCAATGTTTTGTTGTTTTGAGAACATAACTAATATTAGTTGTATGCTTATTTGAAGGAATGACTTGATTCAAAAATCAAACGTTCAAATGATTCACAAGAACACACAAGGTGAATAATATTACGTTTTCATTAACAAGTAAGATTAGAACTATTCAATTACAAGAAAAGAACTCTTCTATCAGATCAACCCTTACACGTTCTTCTACCTAATATCCCTATATATAGGCATCGGAGGGATAAAAGAAAGGCATCTCAAGTCAATAGCGAAGTTGCAAACTCAAGTTAACAAAAAGTGTAAGATCGCATCATAACACACACTAATTAAAGACATTGCGAATTAAACATTATAAGATGACACAACAAACTACGAACTCTACAATCTCCCATTTTGTGACAATCTTCTTAAGTTGTCTTTACTTTAGGTTTCTTCACAGTTTCAAACACTTTTGGCATAGTCTTCAAAAGAATAGAATGAACACCAATTTACCACTTTACCATATCCGATACACACTTCAAATCATTAGAAGAATGTTTCTTGAAGTTCACCGCATTTGCTAGGATTTGATTCAAAGCCACAGAAGAGTACAAATGTTTGTCAAAAAATAGAACATACACTTCTTTGAAACTTTATTTTATTTTACTTTGAAAAAAACACCCTGGATCTTATTCTCAATATATCCAACCTTTAATGAATCAAGGTTTCTGGAGGTGCCATTGGCTTCACAATCGGTTTTCTATTTGAAACATATCAGATCTCAATATCCATCTTCGCAATTTCAATGGTATAAGATTTTATCAATCTCTTCATATGTGAGCAGATTGGATCGCACTTGACTGGCTCTCTTGAAACAATATTGAGAATTGAAATCCAATCAAATGGATTCATCAAAGGAAGATTAGCCAAAGTAAAGTTGTATGTTTCATGCTTGTTTCCACGAATTGCCTTGAAATGAATATTGACAAAATCATCAACCTTGTCTAACTTCCCTACTTTCAGCCCAAAAATCTTCTTTATATTCCAAGATTCATAGTGCGGTTTAGAATTTTTCAAATAAAGTTGAACAGCTTCCTGTTAATAGTTGTGTTTCCCATAGCGATTTTCTAAATGCTTTCAAAGCTACAAAATTGAAAAGATTTCATGGTAATTGGTAAATCTACCTAACAATCAACATCATTATCAACTGAGAAAGAGGTTCGAGGTTCCAAATAGTAGAGTTTTGGATTGTTGAGCGCTTCTTCTTCAATTCTTTCAATTGACCATGGAGGAAATAGAGCTTTCTTGTTTGCAAGAATTTCTTTTGCATTCTTCTTCTTAGCTTCCTTTGCATTAAGCTTCACATTCAAAGCATTAAGCTCATCCAAAAATGCATCACACTTTGTTTGATTTTCTTGTTGTTCTTTTGTCAATGGCAGATCCAAATCATCTAACTTCTCAAAGACAATTTTTACATTTCCTTTTCCTGACCCAAAAGATTCAGTACCCGTTTTTCCAGTACTCTTTTACCTCAAAATTTTCAATTTTTCTTCCATAGATTGCTTCTCCAAATGGTTTTCTCACTGTTCTTTTCCATTGGACCTGTTTATAAGGATTCTTGATGTTGACTTCTGGAAATAGTGTTTCATTTCCCCCTTGTTTTGATGTAGCCTTTTTACTCGTAGCATCATTTAACTTTGTAGTTAACATATGGATCATCTATGGTTTCCACAATCTTAACCAAGTGCTGATTATTTCAAAACATTTCCATTTTACAAACAAGAGTTCTTCATTTGTTTTTCCAAGATCCAAAGTAGTTGTATTCAATTGTACCTTAAGAAATTGGATCTTCCTAGTTGCTTCAGCTAAAACATCCATGATTTTGTTTTCATGAGCCTTACTTATTTGTAAGGTGAGAATGGAATTAGCAATTGAGGTATGATGATGAACATTATCCTTTTGTAGCCCAAAGAGATTTTTAGATAAAGTTTCATTTTCATTTTGTAGTGAAGTATGAAAACTAAGAATAAGTTTGTTCATTTTAGCAACATTTATTTCCAAAGATGTTTGAAATGAAGTCATACAAATCTCTTGCTTGGAAGTAATTGACTTGACTTTAGTGAGAATGGTTGAAACTTGAGAATGTGCTTCATTGATTAGTTTAGTAGAATCATCTAAGCTTCTGATGTTGTGAAAGCTTATTATCATGTTCTTTAACCAACTTCTGAATTGTTTCATGATGAGAAGATAACAGTTTACCATACTTTGTGTTGATGAAAGTAGAAGACTGAGAGAGAATTTCATCTAACTTCTTATTCAACTTACAAAAATCTTATTTGGTTATTGGAACATCATCATCTTCGTGATCACTCTCAACTTGAAACACAAAATCAGTTGCCACGAATTCATCATTGGATTCAGAATCATCTTTCATTGAATTTCTTCTTCACTATCATCTAGAACAAGTGGAGTAAAGGTAATTTCTAGTGTATATACATGCGATTGAGACAAGTTTTCACCAATATTGCCATTTGGCCCTACATCAGATGTGTTACCAGGGATACATGAGGTTTTATTCTCTTTCTTATAGGATTCAAAAGTAGAAGTCAGTGGTGGAGGTTCTATACGAGATGTGCTTTGAAAGACAGAAGTAACAGTTGCCACAGTAAAAATTGGAATCTCAAAAGGTTTCGTTGAAGAATGAGAAACAACATAAAAAAATTGACTTGACGGAATTGGTGAGGATATAAAGATTTCAAAAACAATGGGTGGAGTGGGAGGTGTTTGGGAATGTTTAAGAAAAGGATTATTAACCACCTGATTGCAAATGTCGACTTTAGTCTCTAAATGCGAAGAGACAATGGGAATATGAATTGGATCCGAAATAGATATTGATTTCACCTTAATGTTCTCAGAATTGACTTCATTATTGAGAGCAAATTACTTTTCATTTTAATCAAGACTTGCATTATGTTTGCTTGAGTCACTTTCAAGAATAAGTTTAGTGCTTGCCCTCTTATGCTTCTTATATGTCTTGAACACAAGAGTTTTCCAATTTCTCTTAGAATGTTTGACTTTATTCCTTGGAATTTTGTCTTCATGGATTTCTTCTTCCGAATCACCACCTACACTAGAAATTAAAGTTGCAAAGCATTCCATAATGATAGGATGATCAACAGGAACCCTAGATAACATAGCTTGTAAAATGGAACCCACAATCAGAAAGTTATTTGGATTAGAAGTAACAAATGTTGTTGTCTATATTTTTGGAATATCTGTAATTATAATATCCCTCATTTTATGGAATATTATAATGGTGCTTAGTAATCCTGACCACAATGGACCAAATTGAGCATATGAGATTTAAATTTCTTTGATTTTTAAAGAAATACTTTGAACAAATTGATCCCATAATATGGTTCAAAAATCAATCTTTTCCGAAGAATAAATTCCATATAGGAAGTTGTGGAATAATCAACTAGAATTATCAGAGCCAGTTGTGCGCTCAGAGAAGCATCTAAACAAGATTGTAAACAATAAAATCCAAATAGGAGGAAGTGCGGACTTCTTAAATCGAGAAAGAGTTGATAAATCATAGATGTACCCCATTTGATGATAAACTTGAATGATAATTGATGCAGAGATTTTGTCTGGAGCAATAAGATCTTTAGCATTAGATAGCCCTAACAACTTGCAGAAATTGGACTTAGAAATCAACTTCTTCACACCTCTAAGTTCAAACTTCATAACATCCATTTTCTTATTGTAAGTTGAAGTAGAGAATGCCAACAATAGTTGAGAAATTGGAACATCTTAAACTAAAATCGAAGCTTTCTTCAAGACTAAGTGGTCCAAACAATCAGTCAAAGGTTTAACCAGTTGAGAATATTTCATTGGATCAAGAACAACCACCATATTCCAACTTAACTTAATGTTCAACAATGAAGAGGATGAGGATTGGTCCATAAAAGATATACGATTAGAAGAATCCATGAGAGTGTTGTAGAAACTTTGACTGAGAATGATTTCATTTTTAGGGTTGTTATGCGTAAAGAAAAAGATAATTAACAATTAGGGTTTTTAATCGGTGAAAGAGTAGTGGGATTTGAATTTAAACCATTTATTTGATTGGAAAGAGAAAACTTGCCTGTACACTTTAAATGTGTTACATCTATAATGCCAGAAAAAGGAATCATACCAATCATTCCAAATATATTGAACTAATAAGACATTGCCACTTCATCAAATTTATGTAACAAACTGGAATTGCCATTTATAGAGCAACATAGTGTCAGACCCTTTAGGTACACACCAAAACAAACATGCCTTTTGATTTTCAGGAGTTTCATAATCACTAATCTACCCTTCAGTTTTTGCAAATTAAAATAGTATCCATTGGAATTACGACCATGATTGTTTTGTTGAACACCTTGAGATCTTTACCACGAAATAGAACTGGAAGTTTTTAGAAATCAGAGATTTCAGTGAAAACATGTTCCAAAAGAAAAGATAGCAAATTAAAAAAATGGATAAGTCGTGCTACCAAAGAATCTTTGATATAAAAGCAGTTAGATCCCGGGCACAGTTTCGCTTCTTTCAATAGTCAAGAGAAACTAAGAAGTGCTTGTGTGGTTTCCCGTTGAATTACGATCGTCAACTTGTGAAGAAGTAAGGAAAGACATCTTTTCATAGGTTTAAAGGGCATGCAAATTTCCGATCATAGACGCAACTTAACATAAGTGCTATAATATGAAAGGAAAAACTTGATTGAGTAGTGTAGCCAAGATCAAGTTCAGCAAGAATGCTATAATGATAGTAAAGTAACATCATGATAAGAAAAATGTTCAGATGGAAATCTTATTAATTTGAAAAAAAATTAATTGGATCTGATTGGGAAGAGATTAATTAGGAATCAATCAATCTCATTAAGATCTCACAAACGAGGATTAAGAGATTTTGAACATAAAAAGATATAACACTGCAAAATATAAGAATTCCAACCGTCAATTCCTTCGTTTCAGTGTAGAACAAAAATGTTCATCGTTAATTCGTTTATGGAAAGGATTGTAGGTTTTCACCAAGATCATGGTAATAATGACCAAAAGATCATAAACATAGAATTTTTGGAAACCTACATTCTAGTTGTTTTAGACTAGAGATGTCTCGGGATATGTGTCATAGTGTGTGCATTGTAAGAATTAACAGATTGGAAAATAAGAATGAGTTTTTCACATTCTCAAGTTAACAATGAGAATGATCATAAAAAATATTTTTGAGAAACCTAACTCGGAGTTGGTATAGAATCATAAGATCAAGGGTTAATGAAAAATGGTTGGTGTAATATCTGTTAATTCATTATGGTTTCGACACGAACCCTAAGTATGGATTTGTATATATCCAAGAAATCATCAGTTTCCAATATTGGTGAAAAGAAAGATAGTACCTGTGATACGAAATATTAACCAAGCAGAAATCTCAAAACTCCAAAATTAGGTAGAGATAGGTAGCTCGATGATTTTTGTTAATACGGCCTATTAGGAAGAAATCCTTAAGATAATAGATTTCATTAAGGCCTTTTTTCAAACAAATAACCATTGAAAATTTAAACAACATGCTTCATTATGCTTCTAGGGACACCTAACTATTGCGAACATGAATAATAATTGCCCCCCAAAAAATAGACATGCCAACATTTTTTTTTTCGAGTTTTGTATGTTCTTGAAAAAATAATTACAAAAATAAAATATTATTGGAGTTTTGTATTCTTTTGAAAAACTAAAGACAAAAATAAAATCTTTTTAGAGTTTTCTATGTTTTTGAAAAACTAAAGACAAAATTAAATATTTTTGTATTTTTGAATGAGAACAAAAAGTAAAAAAATACCTACAGCACCAGTCTGTGTAAGAGTAGATCTTCTCACATCTAAGTATGTGAAAAACCCGAATAGTGAAGGGTTGCAAAATTCGTAACGTGCCGCAGGTGAACAATGATCTGTTCGTAACTTTAGAGATTAGATTTTGGAACCAATTCTGCTTCCATACTTCCAATTCCATGCATAGTTGTGTTAAAGGTTATTTCGCGTAACGCTTTCATGAAAATATCTCCTAATTGATCTTTTGAGTGCACGAAATGCACTTTAACATTTCTATCTTCAACATGATACTTTATAAAATGATATCGTAACACGATGTGCTTTGTCTTTCCATGTTGAACAGGGTTATGAAAAATGCATATGGAACTTTCAAAGTCACAATATAAAGGAATCCTTTTCATGTTCATGCCATAATCTCTAAGATGATTTTGTATCTAGATGATTTGCAAAGTACATGAAGTTGATGCAATATATTTAGCTTCTGCAGTTGATAAAGAGACACATGTTTGTTTCTTTGATTGCCAAGAGAAATTTACCATCCAAGAACTGACATCCTCCAGAAGTACTTTGGTGATCAAGACCACAACCTCCGAGATCAGCATTTGAATATGCCTGAACTAAAAATATGGAGTTAGAAGGATACCATAGACCAAGAGAAGTACTCTGAAGAAGATATCTGAAAATACTCTTTAATGCCATCATGTGTGGTTCACATGGATTCGCTTGAAATCTCACATAATAACAGACTGCAAACATAATATCAGGACGGCTAGATGGCAGATACAATAATATCTGCCTATATAAAGTAATATATGCTCCAAGTTTAACAAACGAATGAGTGAGCTTCATGCAAAAATCCACCAAAAACTTATCCTTTGATTCACCATTCATTCCGAATTTGGTAAGTAAAGATTTTTTGAAAGCTTCTTGATTGATGAATATGCCCTCCGAACTCTGTTTAATACTGAAACCAAGAAAAAAATTTAATTGGGCCCATAATGCTCAGTTCAAATTTAATTTCCATCAATTTATGAAATTCATCACTTAATTCAGAACTAGTAGACCTGAAAATGATATTATCAACATAAATTCAAAATTCATCTGTTAATTCAGAACTAGTATAACTGAAAATGATATCATCAACATAAATTTGAACAATCATAATGAGATTACCTACTTTCTTAAAAAATAAGGTGGGTTCAACAGAGCCTTGCTTAGATTTTGATTTTTTTTTTAAAATTGCAGTTAGAGTTTCATACCATACATGTGGATCTTGTTTTAAACTATACACTGCTTTATCTAGCAAATAACATTGATCAGGAAATTTCTCATTTACGAAACTTGGAGGTTGTTCAACATAAAGTATTTATTCAAGTTCTTCATTGAGAAATTCACACTTCACGTCCATCTGAAATATTTCAAAATTTTTGTGAGCGGTATAAGTAAAAAATATGCGAATAGAATCCATTCTTGGTACTAGAGAAAATGTTTCTTCATAATCATGTCATTTTTCTTGACAATATCCTTTGACTACAAGTCTTGCTTTGTTCCTAATCACAGTACCTTCTTTGTCCATTTTCTTACAAAATACTTACATAAATTAAATACTAATGCATTTTATGGAGTTGGAATTAATCTCCAAACCTTGTTTTGCTCTAACTAATTCAGTTCGTTTTGCATAGCCTTAACCCAATCAGCATGATCAAGAGTCATTTTAACAGTTTCAGGTTCAACTTCAGAAACAAAAGAATTAAACATGCATAATTCTTGATTGGTATTTGAAGGATGCTTGTTTCGCTTTCTCTTGTGAAGGAGTTAAAACTCCCATATACATATCACCAAAAACGTGAGTTCATGGATGATCTCGAGTCCATTTTATTAAAGGTGGAAAATTGATATCATATTCAAGATTTAATTCTGCATTAATTTCTTTAACTTCTTATTTTACATCAGATTCGATTTCAAAAATGTCATCTTCTTGAAAATTCAAAATGAACTCTCCCCCAAGACATTTGGATTTGAATTCTCCCCCTGCACAAATTCATTAAATTTTCTTTCAGTCAAGTGCCTAATATTTTCAAGTATTGGAGAATCAAAGTTTTCTCAACTCTCCCCCCAACATGACTAGAGGTAAAATCAATATTTTCTTCTGAAGATTGAACATTTGGAAATGTGCCATCAATCAATTTTACCAATTCATCATCATGATTTTCAGACGCTTTACTTTCAGAAGAAATCACTTTTTCTGGTTCATCAAACAAATTTAGCAATTCCTCATACGTATTAGAAAGAGAATAGTTTGTTTCATGTTTGAGGAAAAATTTCTCCTTTTTGAACAACTTCTTTCATTGTCAATTTCACATATTTTTCATCGAATGTAACATAATATGTCTCTTCTATTTTCTTTATCTTCTTATTTAAAACATCATATGCTTTCGAACTCAGAGAGTATCCAAAAAATATTTCTTCATCTGCCTTTTTGTCAAATTTGTTACGATATTCTTTTACGCTAAAGATGAAACACCTGAAACAAAAAACATGAAAGAATTTCACGTTAGTTTTTTTGTTGTTCAAAATTTCATAGGGAGTTATTAAAAAGCATTTATTGATGTAAGAACGGTTTTGAGTAAAGCATGCAATTGCAATTGCATCAACCCAAAAATATAATGGCAATCGTGCAAAATATAACATAGTTCTAGCAGCTTCACACAAGGAACAATTTTGTCTTTCAACCACATCATTCTGATGTGGAGTATACAGAGATGAAAAGTTGTAACTGATTCCTTTATTTGTTAAGAATTCCATAAAGATATGATTCTTGAATTATGTTCCATAGTCACTTCATATTTTTCTAACATGCTTTCGTAGTTGAAGCTCAATTTGC